TAACTACTTTAAGTATTTTAATTACCTCATAAAGTAATCGCGCATTTCTTTACTCTTCAAGTTCTCCACAATTTTTTGCCCAAGTGTTGCCGCCTTTTTTTGTGACATTTTTTTTTTATTTTTATTTTTTTGGTTTTTCTTTTAATTTATTATTAATTCTTGTACGAAGTGCACTGATTTAAATTCGGGAAATTCGGTCGGTTAGTAGTAAAATTATTTATAATTTATTCAGGTTTTCTTTCTATTCTATTCTTATTTTTTTTTTTGTTTCTGTTTTCTGAACAATCAGGCGTTTCAAGTTTTATAAAATTCCAGCGTATAAGCAAAAAAAAAAAAAAAGCAAAAAAAAAACTGCCTCACTTGTTGAATAAATAAGATAGTGTTCCGTTATAGTTGTTGCTGTTGAGTGAATAAAAGCTTTCAATGTTTGCGTGTGTATGTTGCGTGTGCATTTATGCGCATGTAATAGATGGTGTCTGCAAATAAAAATTCAAGTTTATTAACATCACGATTTTGAATAGTATCTTAAAAGCGCTTACCTTTTTTACTTTTTTTTTTTTTTTTTTTCTTATTTAATAAAACAAGCAAACGAACCAATGTTTATGTAAATTTTTACAATTTTGTTTTTTTTCTTTTTATTTTTTATTCAAATCTCCAGTTATATAAAATATTGTCACTTATTTGTTAAGAGTAGAATGCGTAACCGAAAATGATTACACGAACTGACCGCAAACACGCGAAACACTCCACTTGATAGCCTAGCAAACGAACGAGACTGATTGAATTAAGTGAACAAGTTGGAGAAAAACCAAAGCAAAACATAGCACAACCATATGTTAGCGTTGTCAAAAGCTATACAAAAAGCACATAAATACAGTAAACTTAATACTGTTTCTACCACTATTTAAACGACTGTTTCTCTCTTATTCTGTTTTAAACGAATCTCGCATATCTCAATAGTTTTTCATGTTTTCTTGCGAGCGATACCTAAAAAGAGCCGTCCAAAAAGAGCTTATAGCCAGGCATGAGCTTGAGCCACCTTTTCTGTTGATCATCTTTAAGAGTTTATTATCGCTTCAATTAATTCAGATTTGTTGGCATGAAAAAGTTATCTTTCAACGCTTTTTTGCTTTAGGTATTACAAACAACGTTTAGCCCAATAGCTTAAGTTAGTTCTAAAATGTAAAACCTTTTTAGCCGTTACGTATAAATACAAAAGCAAAAAAAAAAAAAGAAGGGAAACCTTTAATTAATTTGAATTGTTAATGTACGATATGCACCGGGCAAAAGAAGGCAATATATTGAGGGTGCCTGCCACAACTTTTATCGAATGAATTTCTAGTATTAATTTTTATTTTTACTTTCACTTTTATTGCAAGTTGCATTCCCAACCGGTATTAGTAAAGGCACTTTGAGTTTGCGCGGATGGGTAGTCATACAGTTTTCTTATATCAAAATTTTCAGGTAATATAATATGTTAAGTACATCCTGGAACTGCTCCTATCTAAGCTTTTAGTCGGTAGACTCTTTCAGTGTTCTATACAATAGCACATAGTTGTGCGAGTCACTTAAATTATGCAAATACGTCAGCAGTTCAAAGCCCATCCCCAGCGATAAACTTATTTAATAAGTAGCCTCAGACCCAATTCGTATAATATTTCTTTTCGCCGAGAAAAATGAGACAGAGAAGTGGGCAAAAATTTATCAATACTTATTCTCTATCTTATTTTTTAAAATATTTTACGAACGCGAACGCCATGTTATACGAATCTTTCCTATATATGAACGCGTGTTATATATGGGTCTACTGTATATATATATATGTTATGTACTCTATTACTTATGTATTACTACTATACATTATTATTACTATGCCTACTTACATATGTACATATATATATATATCTATATACACATTTTTGATCTTAACTTAATCATATTTGTCCTTTCGTCCACATTGTTGTTAAAAATCCCTGGAAAGTCAAAATGAATACAAAAACTCGAACCTTTGATGTACATAGATCGTTTACTTGCACAGCTCCAGTCTAAAATATAACAAATCCGTAAATGCGTCGTTATTAAGCAGAAATGCAGGAAGACAGTTCCTTGAAAGAAATCAATCTATTACACGTTCGCTATTAAAAGAAGATTTTATTTAATATTTACATACATGACAAGAATTGCATAAATCTCGTTTACATAAAATTTTCTGTTTTTCTTTATTACACATACATATTTATTGTTTCACGAATTTAAGCAGAATTTTGCTCAGAATAGTGATATCTAAGAAAACGTATGCCTTGGATCGTTTGTACGTTAACGTTAGTAAAATGACAAGCAAATAAGAGCAAATTTCTCGGTTTAACTCGCAAAGCAAAACGCATAAATGCCGATGAATATAAAATCAGAGCTGGAAAGAAATAATAATCAAAAACACTAAAGTAATACTCCATCATAAAATTGCCTTAAGCGCGAGACAAAAAAATGCTATAGAAACTAACTAAGCGAGTTGGGGGAGATACGTCTTTCTTTAAATGATTATCATTTTGTTATCCTTAATTAGCATAACAATGTTTTTTAAAGTCAATCATCCAACGGACATTAAAGAGTGCATTCAGATGATAATATGTCTTAAGCGGAAAACACTTTTAACAAATATGCTGAGGATGTGAACTAAGTGGGCTTGGGGAGATAGGTCTCTTTTCGAATAATGATCGCTTGTTAAGTGTCACATTTTGTTTTCCTTAAACCAGTTTACTTATTAAGCTTCTTTTATACATGAAATAAAAGTAATAAACTTTTGACAGATAACTTGAAAAAAAAAAAAAACTTGAAATAAGAAAAGGGAATCATTCTATTAGACTTCAATAAAATGTCTTTTCTTCTACGCAATATTACAGAAAGCAAAATAGCTGCTCGCATGTTTCCCCGGCAGTGGTTGACTAAAGACGATAAACACGTCAGTGATATTGACGAGTCTTCAAGAGTTAAAGCTTTAGTATTTTTCTGCATGGATTCTGCATGGAAGGTCTAAGGGCGCAAGCAAGTTCCTTCAAAGCACTATATTATGTAAGAAATGATGAAAGAACCTTATACAGACCCTTTAGCCAAACGAGTGTTATTATGGTTTACTTATAACGATTAAAATATTTTCAAATGACGTTATATATTCATTAGCTTAAAGAATACTTATCCCGATTTGATTTTTTCTATTATTCTAATTGATAGTAATTAAGAAACTTACCCAAAGTCATTTTGCCAGAAATCAATTTGGCATCTTTTTGAGTGTCAGCAATCGCGGCCAATGGAATTCCCCATGTAACTACTGGACCCCAAAAATGCGTACTATTGTGCAAGAAATTATATGTCAAGCATATCATGCTTTTATAAAATGGCTAACTCACCTCATTAAATATTGACGCATTTCCTTGTTGGTGAAATATTCGAATATTTTTCGGCCCATACCCCCATTTGACGACATATTTTGCTATCTTATGTCTGTGAATCTTCGAAACCAAACAATAACTGTTGACCAATTAAAGTGAATCGTATTCAATAAAGAGAAAATACAAAGTGAAGCACGAAAAATTTTACACTCGTAACGAAACCGTACATTAAAGGTTTGTAATTTTATTTTTCAAAACTTTTCAAAAAAAAAATTTTCCGAAAATTTAAAATATTTAAAGGAAAAAAATTTGAAATAATGAAATGAAAATCAACAGAGAAATATTCAAAATAAAATAAATGTAAAAGTGTTGTTAAACGCAATTTCTATTTTTATTTTTTTTTTTAATAAATGATGTACATAATAGAAACACAGAAATATAATAGAGAGTCCTGCAATTGTTTATGGACGAATTCAGGTCGATTAAATATAATCTCAATTTTTCGCAATAATGACGAAAGTGCATAGGAAATCCATAAAAATTGCTTATATATTAAAAATTAACATCATTCTGTCGCAAAAAATTAAGTCTTTACCGAGATTTTCCCTGCAAAAGAAGATAGTTAAGCGCTTATCGTGTACTGGGTCTGTGCTCAGGTTGAATGACTAATGCAGCGCTTTTAGCGCAAAAAATTTGTTGTGCTACGTAACGGTTTTCCGTAATGTTAAGTTCTCCTATATTTATTGCATAAGCGCTTTTGTGCAAGAATTTGCATCGGACTAAAAAAATGTATCATTCATCGCGGGCTTTTTGGAAAGAACTCATTTTAACATTTAATTTATAGACTGATGAAATACCAAAATGGGAGTCAAAAAGATTTATTTTTTTATCTAAAAAAATATAGATTCGGGATACAACGAATCGAGCTAACCTCTGAATAGGAAATGTTGCTATTAATTTTTTTATTAAAAAATTTCAAGAAAATAGATAAAGTTTGATCTCTGCATAGACACGTGTTATGTATTATCGGCGTTACAATAGATAATTGTTAAGCTGCGCCTTATGTGCCCAAACATGTCAATGTACAATTTTTGCTTCAAAATATCTTAAAAATTACGACTTGCACATTGAACACAAAAACCCAAGACGGACAGATGGTTAGAAAAGTTCAGATCGTTGCAGAGAGTGATCCTATATTGATTAGTATAATGAAAGATGGGTGGAAGGAAAATTTTAATGCCGTTTGATCACAATAATGTTTTGCTAAAGTAAAATAATTAAAAACACTACAAGGGATCATGGGCTATCATTAAATACCGTACATCACTTTGCAGTTATTCATATAACGTTTTTTGAAAATAAGGCTTTTTGTGGGATGTGATCGAAAAAGTGGCTCGATTCCAATCATTTTCAATTGCCTTCCTGCTTTCCCCAAACTACGTCAATGTATCAAATTTCATCAAGACGTATTAAAACTTATGGCATGTCGGTTGAACAAAAGAAAACGAGACGGAGAGCCAATGATTCTGAAAGCGACTCCAAATTGATTGATATAGTAAAGGATGGATCTATCCCAAATGCTTCTGTGCGTTGCATACGTCCGCACAAATATACCCTTGCATCATATGTGGGGTAGGGTATTTTAGCCAACTAGCACGAATTTTTTTGTTCGTAAATTATTAAGTTTGTACTTTTGTTTGTCGTTGTTGAAGATCTCTCTGGTACTAATGAGAACCTATGAAAAATCGATAAGATTTGAATTTAATTGTCGTTCGTTTAACGTTACGCAAAAGGGTGTACAACTTTGCTAAATTATAGCTTGGACATGTTGAAAAAATTGCAAAAATACAACTCTTCTAAAATTTATTTTCTTTTATATGTTAAGCAATAGTTTTTAAACTGTATAACAGAAATTACTTTAATGATATGTTCTCTTATTCGCAAAAGTCAAAAGAGTGAAGCGCGAAGCTTTTGTTTTTAACATGGCAAAAAAGAGGATAAAAAAGTCCTTGGACCAAAATAATGAAAATGAAACCGACAGTAGCGTTATATACAAGAGCATCCGTATATTTTAGTTTGTAACTCGCGAGCGTTAGTGAAGGTTGTTGGAGAAGTGTAATTCGTTTTGTATAAGAAATATAAGAATTAATTAATTAAAATGAATTGTGTGGTCTTTTAAGAAGTCTGTGTCTGCGTGTGCGTGAGTGTGTGCGCTCATGGCTGCGAGAGTAAGAATTTAGATGCCCAAATAGAAAGAAGAAAAAACAAAAAATATGAAAATAAATTATGTGTTTTTGTTATTTTTCCTGATTATGAATAACATCACAAAAAAAACAAAAACAAAAAAAAATTCATTCATGAAAATTGCAAAAGTTTTTTACACAAATTAATTAAAATAAATCTTACACCACCAACGCCCTATTAGGAATGTAAAGTTATATGTTGTTGTTGTTGTTGTTGTGTTCCTTTTTGCTATTTCTTGCAAACGTGCCGTTTCATGCTCTTGTATTTAGATACATATATGTTTATATATGTATATGTATATATATATATATATATATAGATGTGTGTATGGTTAGCTTGCTTTTATGTGTATTTGAGAGTGAGTGCGTATGAGTTGAAATGAAATCAAAAGCAGATAACCCACCCTGTGATATGTGCGCTAGTGTTGTTATTGTTGCGTATATGTGCTTTCTTTTCTATTACATTTTTTTACTTTAGTCCCTCTGTAAAATCCCATATAATACAAACAAACCTACCAAGCAATTATGTTAAGAAAAAGACGAAAGGCTATAAAAACATATAAAAGCAAAATAATATAAAGATGAAGAAAAAAAAAAATAATAATAATAAAAAGAAAAGGAAAAATAGGAACAGTCGCCCACACCCCAAAAACGATAAAATTAATTATTTTTTTAAGAGTTATTTGATGAAGAGAAGCACAAAGTAACTCCTTGTTGCGTGTTTACATGCGAGGAAAACTTCTATTTAGGATTTACATTTGAATCTTTAATAAAAACTTTGAAATTTTTTTTTTTTATTTTCTTTCATTAAGCGAATGGTTGTTGATTTTAATGTTTATTATTATCATTATTATTATTATTATTATTATTTGTTTTTTTCATTTACTATTAGTTAGAAAGCCGCTCCCCAAATAGACAAAAATAAACTAACAAAACTTTCACCAGCATTCATCAAGCACAAGCACGCATACAATGAAAATAATATGACAACAGAAGAATGTCGCAATGAGAACTAAGTTGAAAGAAAAAAAAAAAAGCAATATTGCGAAAAGAAAAGGAGCATCCAAGACTATCCATTTGTACATATAAACTAAAATGTCGCCATCAGTAGCAAAATAAATAACGTGTTGTGTATTCGCATAATGACGCCATAATAAAACTAAAAAAAAAAAAAAAAAACACGAATCGTTAGAAAGAAAGGCAAAAATTTTTGTTTTGGAAAATTTCATAAATTTTACAAAATTTTTGTTTACGCCAAATGTGTACGTGTTCTCCAATACGAAATGTTTTAATGAAAATTTTATCGTTCTACACAAACGTGCGTATAGACATACATGTCTACACGTAAACACATATATTTAATATTCAAGCCAGCACTTAACGGTTTAGTGCTACTTCTAAACGTTTATTTATCCCGGTGTGTTTTGATATTATAATACATAAAAAAAAACATCTCTGAACCAAATTTAATAATAATTAATTTTTTTGTTTAAAATTTTCCCAAAAGCGTTGATTTGATTTACATTTTAAATATCTGTAATAATTTTAATACACATATTAAAGCTATGCAGCAACACTTTGCTTTTCATATGCATTTATTTTTTTTGGTAGCATATTTTTAAAAACCGTTACTTGAAAGCCGATCTTTGCTCAATGTTTTCTAAATTCAGAAAAATTTTTCTTAACCGATATTATGATATACATATGATTAGAAACTATTAAGTAAACTTAATTCTTTATATAGTTACAAATCTTATGTTGTGGCTACTGTGACCATGAAGGTAAACGGTGCGCCAAAATGGTTTAATATTTTTATATCCTATATTGCGGTAGGAGGATATATTAAGTTTGTCCGAATGTAAGCAACTCATAAACGTCCTTGAGATAAACCCATTTTTTTATTGTACCGATCGCTTCGTAGTCATTTTCAGAGGCCTTCTGTCTGTCTGTCTGTCCGTCTTGTGTTTTTTTCTTGTCCTTGTTTTTTTCTTGAATAGTTTGAATCGGACGAATTTGCTTTCACTTCTAGCTTAGCGTCTTACTTTGAAAACTGCATTGTGCTGCAGGGTATTTAATGGTAGCTCTATTATGTTCTTATTTATTTTGTTTTACTAAAATAGCGTTATAGCATTATAATAGCAGATCAAAGGGTAATAAAATTTCCAGTGTAAATCGTGTGAGCTCGTCTAAATGTCTTGTCTTCTTAGGTTTGCAGCATTCTAAATGACAATTGCTCCCAATTTCGCGCTAAATTGAACTTTTGAACAATTGAATTGAGCTTTTCACCCCATAGCGTGCGAGATTTTCCCGTAAGGGTTTTTTCAATTTCAATAATAGTCGATAGCATTGACACTATCCACAAGCTTAAAGAGACAACGTGAGGCTAACGTTAAATAAAGGAAAAAATAGATTGCGAAAAGTTATGCAATCAACTTCTGATTAAAAAAGTCCCGAAGTACGAATTTAGTAACTGAAGGAAAACTATTTCGAATGAGAAGGCACGTAGCTTAGTCGCTTAGACACATAACGCTTAAATTATATCCCTTCTTAATTCTTTAATTTCACGACAGCTGTTATTTGTCCTACTATTTATTGATCACATAACTACATATTGATTTGATAATTGATAATGGCCTCCTTATGGATATATACATCACGTTTTACTTTTTTCCATGTCCGACAATACGTTATACATTTCACAAAAACTCATATAGTGACTTTTCGAGAGCGAAAATGAAGCGCTTAATTTATTTAAAATTTAATGTTTCCACGAAATTTTTAGGGCGGTACGTTGATAATACTTTCAGATACTAACTATTATAGGTAACTAAATAATGCTAAACGTATTTATGTAAAACTTATATGATTATGGAGTTATGGGTATGTCTTTTAACTTACAAGAATATAAATGCATAACGTACAAAAACGTACTTGTTGTGATAAAATGCAATAGTATTCTTTCTTGATCCATCGAAAATATAGCTTATATCTGTTATCTTTGAGAAAAGTTTGCAATTTCGTACATTTAGGAACTTAGTTTTCACTAAATTGTATGTTGTTTGGTAAAAAAAAAAACGTAATAAACCTTATCCAAGATATGCTACTCGGATTCAAAGAGAGTAAAAATGTCCTCACAGTTAGTATAGCGGCTCGCTGCTAGAGCGAGGTTAACACCTTCTCCATTGGCTCCAAGCGATTTTCGATAATTTTTATCTTCTAATAGCAACAGCGAAAGAATTCCAACATCGTACATGTGAGAAGTAAAAGCATCGGCAGATAGAGATAATCTTTGAGGAGATGAGAATAAAATAAATATATTCGTCTGCTTATTTCAATTGCAAATACTCCTGGAGAGACGATCCGAAAAGAAAAATGTAAATGACAACATAAGCAGAAATATTGTAAAGGCTAAAGGACCCTAGCAGCCCTGTAACTGATCTTCAATGCGTATTTTAGAATGCAAGTGACTTGCTAACGAAAGCAATGTAATTTCTGCTTTCAAACGATTTTATTGACAGGTGGAAACATTGAAATATTCATTGCAATGACAAAATTCTACAGATTCCGCTTCATTTATACTATGTGCGTATAATGTATACGATTTGACTTAATATCACTGGAGTTTTAATATCGCTTTTATTAACATTTCAAACGAATTTGTGATATAATTGGAATTGTGACCGCTTTGGAAATTAAAAAAAAAAAAAAAAAAATGGAAATAAAATAAAACAAATGTGGCATATTTAATTTGAAATGTATTCGAAATTCGATTATCACACTGTCCAAAATAATTACGAATTTCTAAAAAGCACTCAATATCACATACATGAATGGACAGGTAAATGTTATTTCGTATGTAAAAAATTTGTGTAACATATAACAGGGTTATGGGATTTGCTGTTTGTTTGAGTTACGGAATTATCCGAAATTTTTTTCCATTTGCTTCATAAATTCTCATCCGGATTCCAAAGCACAATTATCAACTCATCCGCCATATTTAAGAGACAGGTTCTTCAAGCTTAAAGCGCAAATGCCTCAAGACTCAATTTTCTACGTTCCCTGCCTATTTGTTTATCTAGTTGTTTGGTAGTCCCTTTGAAATGTTTACAGTATTCGTGGACAGAGACAAACGGATGAAATTAACATCCGAGTCTAAACAATTATTCATATTATAGGTCAAGAATGCAGCTAGAAGACGGAGGCTGCAGGTTTCGAATGTTTAGCAATTTCCCGTATATTCGTTGTAAGCAATTCCCGCTAATTTAAGAAAAAAAGCCAAAAAAAAAAAATATATTATTCCTTAGCATTATGTTCGACTATCACTGCATAACGTTGCCTATCTTATGTCCAATACATCGTATAAATGTACTGATCAAGTGCTTAAATGAACTCGTAGTTTTCCTTTATGATTTCGTAAAAAAAACACCCACAAGCTTTATAAGATTCGAAAATCAATATGTAAATAATAAAATGCATGCATATATATTATGCATATATGTGTTTACCTGTACTCACTTATGCACAAGCACGCATCGACATGCGAGCAAATTTGTTCAATGAATTTTTGTGGAAATCAATGCGATGCACTTACTCTTAGGGTTGGCCTTAACCGAAGGGGCATTGATGAGAGTTTTTATTCGAAATTTCTATTAATATATTGTTTATTTGTTTATTTTTTTTCTCGAGTTTTTTAGTCAGTTCGATATGAAATTTATTATTATTATTGTTGTTTTATTTGAAATAAATAAAAAATGTGCGTTTACTGTAAGATGTATTTTACCTCTGGGTTTGTTAAAAATTGTGTAATTATGCCTATCGCCGGGAAATTTTAGATTTCCTATAAAATATTTAGAACCATTGGGTATAAGAATTGCAGACTGCACCAAAAACATGTGCATCTCTTATTAGCCGCTATATAGCGGAGTCGATTTAGACCTGTCTGTCAGTTTCTTTATTTTGTTTTTGGTGTACTCTACTCGTACGCATTGGTTTCGAAACGAAAGTCGAGTGCGATTTCCCTTTTTTCCCTGTTTTCAATTGTTGTGAATTAATTCGAGCTGCTTTGCGACTCTGCAACGTACAAGTTAAATACGAAGTCGCTATTGCCGTCAGCAAAGCCACTTACGTGCTAGCGTAAGCGTGAGCTTTGTAAATGGCTTACGTGTGGTTTATTTGTGAGTGCTGCGTTACACATTTCCTGGGGAAGTCAAACTGCACACCTCACGATTAGCTGGTATTAAGGCGAATTAAGGCGTAATAACAGCTAGTATTCATTAAAGTGGCATCATTTTTTTGAATTTTTTCAACAAAAAAAAAAAAAAAGGAAAAAACAAAATATTTATTACTGTTCAGGTTTTCACATTCAAAAATAGAAATATGTAAAGAAAACAAGGACAATCATTAGGCCGACTATTGGACACCTTACATCCTACAAAACTGCACATACTGTAGTTATTTACTCGATTTAGTAATAAAGTAGCAAAAATTACACATTATTTCCATGTAAAGGCATTTTTTTCATACCAGGATTCGCCAAACATCAGATGACATCGTCCAAATTTAGCAAACTTAATTCACTTAATTACTTTTTAGTTTCCGTCATAGGTAACTAAAAATTTAACTTTCTTTTCATACAAAGGCTTGCTTATTATGATAACCCCTATGTATGTAGGGGTTTAAGAAACGAACCGACATAATCCAAATTCTCTACCGTTACTTTTTTTGCTAAATTGCTAATACGGACCAATATTCATTATAAAATATTGAAAATTATACCTCCTTCTGAAGATCTCATCAATCATGTGAAATCTTATATGGAGTAAATTCCAAGAAACGAATCAATGTTGATCTAAATTCGTTCCACTTAATTTTTATTTCAAATCACTATCACGAACAAGTTTTCACCGCAAAAACATTAACCAGTAGGCTGCTTTTTGCCCATATAACACACACATACACATTTCCTGAGAATGCTTATATGTGGCGATATCCAAAAAAGAGGCCTACGTGATCCAAATTCGATAAGGTGGACTTCTTTGTCAATGTACAATTATGAAATCAAAAAATTTGCCTCCGATCAAAAATTTCTATATCAATTTAGAATTTCCCAGCAGTATTACTCAGCAAGTCAGTCCATGCTTGTACTAAGATTTTCTAAAATTTCAATATACATATAAAGGGAATGATTAGCACATAAAAAAATTCATAAAGCAAAAGAGACTTGCCCGCAAAAGTTAGAAGATATATATATATATATAGATTTCGATGCGTTAATAAGTATTCGCCAAAATTTCAGCTATCAATACTCACAATTGTTTCTTGACAATCGTTTGAGTGAGTTGCTATGAATAATTCTGATGAATATGACTGTCGTCATAATGTCATAAAATATTTATATGCGGACGACAGAAATTAAGAACGAACTGGAGGCTATGTGTGTGACTGTACAGTGCTTGCTTAATCGTGAACATTCGAGATGGCGAAAAGCTGTAATTATTCACGGAAACATTGCTCAAGTTAACCAAATGGTGTCAGACAATCGCCGAATTAATTACTTCCAGAGAATGTAGTCAGGCGAATGCCTGATTTGCTATCCTATCCAGGATATTCTCTTTACATAAACCACGGCTGTTAATATCCGTTGACAAATCTCTAAGCGCTGTTCCAGGGGGAAAGTTTTGAATCATATGATGAGGTTATCGTGGAGGCTTAAGTGTGTTTAGAAAGTGAAATGAAATTTTTCTGAAAAAATTTTCAGAAATCACTTTCTCATTCGATCTCTGAACAGAAGTAATTTAGAGAAATTTGGTATATTGATGTGCTTTGACCAAATCACGAAACGTTGTTGAAAATGTTTTGAAATGGTTGAGCGCTTCCCTATAACGACCTATTTTGAAAAATCGCTATTTGCAAAGATAGCGCAATTTTTAGAGTTTCGCAACAAAAGTCACTTAATAATAGTATTTTGGCTTTCTAAACCGGTGTTAACATTTTTGGATCAGATGACGCAATGTTTTGAACCTTTTATTCTACTATTCGTTCCTACGAAAAATATATATATATATATAAAATTAACCCTAAGCATTAACCCTGGATAACGTAGGTCCATTTTTTAGACCGCACCATATATATAGATGCCCTCATGAACGCAAACCGTTCTATAGCGACAAGGTCTAGTCGGCGGTTTGTTTGGTCACATTTAAACAGTTAAATACTGTATCATCATATTCTCCTAATATTTTCAGGACAGGATCCATAGTGTTAGACGCTCCGAAAAAGGGGCCTTGAATATTGAAGAACGTTTGGCATTCACAAAGTATGAATTTACTCGTAAGATTTTTTAATTTGAGGAGTAGATTTCTTAAAGATTTATTGGTGTATCGCAATAGTATTATGAAAGACGATTCTTGCTAATATTTTGATTTCGATTTTCTCGACGTTCATTGGATACCGGGGTGAAAAGCATTAGGATTAGCATGAAGATAGTGGGAAGATAGTAGTAGTTCGACTGTTTCCGTCAATTTTCTTCTTAATATTTTTTTCAAATGGTATTTCTTACTTTGTTAATGGTGCTCCAGCTGCAATGTAAGGGGTCTCGAGTAACTTTTATGATTGACAAACTACTCGCTACGCCTCCCGTTTTAGATTTGTTTTCGCAAGCAACGCTTGTGACTTGAAGAATAATTCTATCTTCGACTAAAAATATTAAAGCATTTTCCAACAGGACATGATTAACTTGGGCTTGCTCCGTAGCACCTGCTACCCCGTAGGGTGTTCACTTTTAGAACTTTCTCCAAAAAGCAAGTGCGAATCGTTAAAAAGTAATGAATGAATGAAAAGTAATAATAAAAAATTAATTAATAATAATTTTTGGCTATGATTAATCTTCTAAAGACGAGATTTGGCATAAATTCTTCTCTGCTTGCTACACACCAGAAACAGCAGAAGAGTAGGCTCTTAAAAGCAACCCTAGTTTGAGTCTATACAAGTAAAGAATTGTAATCTTTTTTTTTGGGCAATAATAAGCGCTCCAAAGTCTTACGAATTGTTTATGTAATATTTTAGTAGATAGGAAAAAAAATTCATTTTTCTGTCAAAGCTGCGGCTATGAACACACATTTTTTTGTAATAAATCAGTCAATTTGCACGTATTAAGTAATAACTTTTCAAAGTTTTCTAATGCAATTTTAATTTCCATATATATCTTTCTCAGTAAGATGCAGCAATTAGCTGCAGTAGCTTAAAAATGTTCACTACCAATCTAGCCTAACATTCATATATAAAGAATAATTTTGATAGGTATTTACTTGTGCCATCTATATAAGATGCAGGATGCAAGGTGTTTCATATTAATTTTCAATATGATCATACACCATACACTGCTTATGTTATATCTCTTTCTTTTTATTATATATACGCTTATATTCTCACATTTATTTGAAAAGGAGCAATAAATTAAATTAAGTTTACTATGGTCAATTTAAGATGAGTACGACTAACTATTTTTTACGTAGTATTTATTAAATATTTTTTTTAAAAACTTATCATCATTTGTCTGGCGCAATGAATGCATTTTGAAAACAAAATCTAATTGAATGAATTAATATCAATTGTATGTCGCGTACCGAATAAAACCGAATAAAATAGAATTTAGCAAAGACAAGGGGAAAATTTCACAGCAGTAAAAGGAAAAAAAAAAGAGAAATAACAAACATATAAGAAATAAAGAATTTTTTTTTTTTTTTTTTTTTTTTTTTTTCTTATAATCTCCCGCTAAATCGAAACAAAATACGACACAATTTTGTTGTATTTGGTCGGTTTCTAAATCAAATCAAGTGGTTTTTTATACAAGATTACCCGCGAATCTTAGTTGAATGATGGATTTTCGTCGACAGACAACAATTTGCTTTTCTTTATGTATTTAAGCGAGAAGAAAAATTTCATACAATTGCTTTTAATAATAAAATCGGGAGCAGAATAATGGCATGGAAAGGGAACGGAAGGGAAGGGAAAAAGAATTTCTAAGAGACATCAAAAACACAAACACACACGCATACATATTTATATTACAGAGACGCAAGCGTATGTACGCATAGATGATTAGAGGTAAAAGAATTTTGTAATGTCATCATCATATCTGAATTGAAAAAGCGTTCACTTTTAAGCTCGAAGAACTGATAAAAATGCAAATGACTCAAATTCGTTTTTAAAGTCACACCAAGAGAATAAGCAGAAAATCGAGTATCCATCTTTTAAACTGCGCGTGATGGATCTATTTTACATATTTGTACATCTTTACATATGTTAATGTGAATGCATTTGCAAAAAAAAAGTGTGACAACAACGACAACGACAACGACGACAACGACGACGACGACGACGACGACGACGACGATATTTAATTCATTTGCATGCAAAATGGTTGCGGGTGTCTGTTTGTTTTTATTTAGGATGTATGTATATATATATATGTGGCAGGAGCTATTGCCCATAGCAGTGATTGCGATAAATATCATACATACACACACACACACACATACAAAGAAAAAAAAAAACAGAAGCAAATGATTGACTTCAAACGGAATATATGAGTGTTTGTAAGTGACTGTGATTGAAGATTTCAATGATATCTTTTATCTTTCCATTATCTACCCAGCATGAATGCATTCAGTATGCATGTACGTGAGCGCGTGTATGCTTGTATGAGTGCTATTGACAATTATTGTTATTCTACAATAAGTTTTTAATACTTTAAGAAATTTTCCATTTTTAGTGTGAAACTTACTAGCTTGCCATCGAGTCGTGTTTTATGCACATACACATACAATATTTTTTTTATTTTTTTTTTTGTCTAAAGCAAAAGTAAAAACAATTTCTATCTCATTTGTGTATTTTCTTTAATTATTTCTTCTAGTGTGGAAAAGCAGAGTTTTGAAAACTTATTAAAAAACCAAAAAAAAAACAAAAAACAAAAAGAAACAAAAAATAATAAAAACACAAAAACTTATCAAATCTGGATATATGTTACTCTCTCATTTAAAGTAAATAGAAAACTTTTTTTCTAAAGTCTTAACTTTAAAAAGCAATATTGAAAAGTTAACTAACTGCTAATCAAAAGTAATGCAATAAATTTTTGTTTAAATAACTTATTTACGTTAGAATGGATAAACGCCATGATAATTGAATAAAGCGGCCGCATTTGGGGTGATGGTGAGTTCTTACTTACTTAATGTACTTTTCTTTTTTGATTGTATTTTGCATTTAGTTAATTATTTTATTAGAGAGAGAGAGAGAATATTATTTCAATTTTGGCGGAATAATTTTTAAAATTTAGCAGCAGTTTGCAATTTATTGCGTATCTGCAACAATTTTATTTGTTGTCTACATTTAGGTGTTAATTCCGTCATTCATTGCTAGAATACATTTTGGATATTCCAAAAAAAAAATACTCAGCTCTGACATCCTTTAGGTTAATTCAAACCTACCCAAAATGGTTATTGTATTTTTTTAAATATTTTTTGATATAATGGATCGCTAAGAGAATATCCTCTGTTCGTGTAACGTGATGACGGCGACAAAAAAGTAAGGAAAGAGAAACAAAGGATGGAACTTGAAGGCAATGAACACAGCTTAGTGAGTGTTTGCCAAAGTAAAGTCTATCCCGCTGAGATTTGAACCCGCGAGGACTGGATCACTAAGCGCAATTCTTACCTATTCGCCTACAGAGGCTTTTGCTTCTAAATGCATGAAAATTCCTAGAAATAACATAAATTTTCAATTATACCGTTGGTCCGTCCCTCGTATTTGAAGTTATCAAAATCTTGAAAGTAGACAATTACTGCTAAGTCGTATTTCGTTGTCACATTGATTCAGTCCGGCCGAAATCATCTCTGCATTCGCGGGAAAATTTTGAAGTCGTCAACGTGACTAATTCAACAATTGAAACATAAAAGTAAAATTTTCATTGACAGCCGACGGTTTACGGTACACATTAATCTGAAATTAAGTTTGTCTGTAAACGCTCAGGGTGAATATTATAGCGAACTGTCTAATAATTCATCCACGATGTATGATAAATGTCTAAATTCTTGATTACTTGACGTTAACGAATGGTTCGAACGAATGCTCTGCATTGCAATCTTCAGTTCAATCTTTCTATTTTATCGTGAAAAATTGCTAAAAGCAATTAAAGAAATAAGCACCAGGAGTGTAATGCATAAGATGCGTTACTATGCCTAACATTCCGATAAGATGAAAATTCTTTGCTTATTTGCTTTGCTTCATTGCATTAAATATTTTGCGCATAGCCTCACACACCTTTCAGCGGCATCGCAGTCAAATCAACTGCGTGCCGGTGTAGCAAAAATTGTATATATAAAAAAAAAAAAAATCTCACGCTTTAGTTCCTGCAAATCCAATCCATGATTTACAAATTCTTAAATAGATTATAAAATGTGTTTTATTATATCGTAGCAGCCTGAGAGCTCACTATACTTTTATGATATTTAACCAGGACCATGAAAACAATTTATTACCACTGACATGCCTGTCTCGTCAAACAATGCTTTCAAGTGATTTCTGGTTTCATTTTTTTTTTTTTTTTTTTTTTTGTTTATTACGTTATTTTCTTATTTTATTATCCATTTTTCTTCCGTACTTTAAGTCCTTTTATGTATCAATTTTCTAATTCTGTTGGTTTTTCTTCGCTTTCAATCCTTGTGTTTTTCTTTTTGCAATTCTCTTATTCCATCACCAGCTTTTTTAATTTCTCTTACAAAGAGTTTTTTTTTTTCTTCTTTTATTATTTCTCTTCAGCTTAACCTACATTTCGTGCAGTTAGTGCAGTTATGGGGCACGGCGTATTTATTATTATTATTATTATTATTGTCTTGGGTTATAATTTCTACATATTTTTCTTTTATTCATTTTCGAAATGTACAATATTTGCTTATTGCGTATCGGTTATTCCCGATAAAATTCAAAGTGCCTTGTAATTGCTTTCTTTATCGCTAAAAATAACTTTATTGTTAGCAGAAATTTATTTGTTATTAAAATGCAAGGACATTAAGTGCCATAATTCTGATCATAACATAATTGCTATTATATGCATGCTTCAACAATAGTATAACACTATATATATAATGTATATTTTTCTCATTTTGCTTTTAAAGCGTGTCAGATACACTTTTGTGGGTCCGTATATGTCTTTAATCAGGATAAAAACCGACCCCTGTTTGCCTTATTATGTGTTGAAGGCGTCAGCACGATCTCGAAGCTTTGGTTACAAATCTTTTCTCACACTTACGTTAGTTAAGTTCAATATCGATTAAACCAGTTCATGCGTATGTCTAGTCACAATTAACGAAAATTCAGAATTTTCCTTCTTTTTTTTTTTTTGGAAATTCAAGTTAAGACATCGTTATGGAACAGAACGGGATAGTATCCATTATTTACTGATCTTATAGCTGGAGCAAGTATCTTCACAAAAATGTAGGAATTTTTTTCAAGTCCTCGATTTGCTGTTCAAGCAAAAAACAAAGGCTAAAACAATTGACAAAAAAAAAAACGAGAAAATTCCATTATTTTGAAGTGTACTTATTGCTCTATATAAAATATAATTGGAATGGTCACCAAGGACAGCGAGTTTCTATCACTTTGTTCACTAAATTTGGCTTTATTTCAGCAATAGCGCGATCAAATTTCCCTTTTACAGAATGAATGGAATCTGGTTTAATAATGTAGATCAAAGGCTTCAAACCATCCTTGAAGAAATGGTTCAAAGGCGGCCTTAGAGGCCACTTGAGATAGGAATTTTTTGATATTATTGCTTCAGCAAACTTATGACGCAATAAATCGATTGATTGACTTGCTTTTTAGTGCTCATAAAACATTCGTTAACATTGATCTGTAGAGATCTTCATCTTTATTTTCAATGCATTAATCGAAGATGCCGCTAACTCGAAACCTGAACTAAACGGTCACTTCTACGGAATGTAAGCAAAAGGATAAGTCCGGAGTTCGGAAAGATGGTTTTGTTGGAAAAGTTCCAGCACATGAGCACAGTTGCTTATATAAAATATTGAAATAATTCCATAAGCGTTCTTGAAGCATTTATACTTCTATAACAAAATTGGAGGTCTTACAGAACCGAACTAACAATGCAAAGACGATTTTGATATTTAATGTATTAGTTTGGGGAAAAAGAAATCCATTATTAATATGTCAAGAAGGAACGGAACCATAAACTCTATACCCAACCTATCATTATAATAGAAGAAGAAAGAAAAAAACAACCAGTGAATTCGTTAGTGTATAAGACAAACGTTATTGGATAGAGATTTTATGAAAAGTTAAAATGAGCGTAAATAACTTAATGCTTTGGACTAAAACTTAAACTAAAAACTTAAAATCATTTGTCATATATGTTAGAGTAATAGTGCTCGGTTCCTAAACGAGAGTTATAGCAAAGTTAGTAGGTAAATATTACGAATACAGGAGAACGGATATCAAAAAAAATGCAAAAACAAAATTTATCGATCCATGAATTGTAAAGTTCACTTTTGGAAGGGAAACATGATCTGTTCGCTTGCACATTTGCGTGCAAATTGCAGTAACCTGTAGTCTCATACGAATAATATCGTGTTAGCAGTGAGTTAGTATAGTTGTAAGAGTGGGAATAGATAGAATATAGTTGATCTCTAGCGCATAGGTATAAGTATTCTAAAAGATTGTACACGACAGAGAATAGAATATTTTAGTGGCTGCATATATAATGAACACAAAAGTTGGGCCTTCAATCAATCGTAAGTGGCATCATAAAACAAATTATTGCGTTCTAGATGACGGACCGTTTTTTGCATCTGCCTAAGTCTACGAGTGGTATGCGCGTCTTAAGGATGGCTACAAAGTCATGAATGGTGACTAATACGATCGTTAATTTGCAATTTGCGATAACCAAAAATGAATGCGTGAAAAATGAAGTTTTCATTGAAGCTGGGAGAAAGGATATTAGACACTTTGAAAATATCAGTCTATCGCATTTTGGCCGGAGAGAGATATCTTTTAACACTTCGTTTCTGGACATACAAGCTTCTTGATCGATTACTGCAAGTGATTTTTTAATCAAGAATTTCGTAAACAATAACTCGTCTCTTCTCCAGCGTCCTGTGATTTTCACCTATTAGAAGATATGCATTTGCCGATAAAAGGAGAGCGTAGCTAATACATCAAACTTGCTTCTCGAGAAGATCTCTACACACTCCCTACTACTTAGTGCATCGGCACCTTTATTGAACATCTAGAACGTAGTATTAGACCTTTATCAGGAGAATAACTTTCCGGATCTTTTTCTTTTTTTTTTTAATCTTTTTATTATTATTGGCTTCTAATATTAATTTACCTAGAGATATAATGTCTAAGACTAAAGTCTTATAGCGCTAGCATTCTAATGCCATTGGCTTTATTAAAAAGTATACTGCGTTTGAGATTTAAGCTCACAACCATTGAACTGTTAGTCGGGATCGTTTGCCTACTGGACCACTCTAGCAGGTCTTTTGTTTTAATATATAGGAAGGAGGAAAAGGGAACGACCGCAATGCAGTGGTGTTTGCACCCAATCGGAACACCCACCATAGCTGCGAACACAGTGCGATTCTTAACTACTCAACTATGCGTCAAGCCGTTGTTTATGTCGATACGCCCCTTTCATGTTACTCTGAGCTTTGAACATTATAATAAGAAGATATGAAGAAGATATGTGTTTAGTCCAGGACATCTTGCTAAATTATAGTTGAGTGTAATTTAATTTAATTAAATTTAACAGCCGCACTCCCCATTGTCGTATAAGTCGCAGCTTACACTTTCACTTGCGATATTATTTTCCTAAGTAAAAAAAAGAGCAAAAAATTTGTCGGATATCAAAAGATTGGTTTTAACTCAACCGTAACCTTTTTATTGCTTTATGAACAAAAAAAAAAAATAAATAAATAAATAAATAAACTTCTATCATAAAGGTTTGTTTGGGTATTTGTGCTTTTAAGAACAATACACTAATAAAACTAAATGTAAGAAGATTTAGTCCTTTTTTATGACTATTATTATTAGCAGCAGCTTACTTGTGGAACTTGTAAATACAGCCAAAGACACATGAATAGTACGCTGGCCAGCAGACGGGTGAACTAAATTGTATATTAAAAGATTTATATAAATAT